TGTTCCCTTCTATCATAAGTAATTATCGTATCTAGCACAATCTCAATCTCTATCTCAAGATGCTGTACAGACCACCTGGAAGTCTAGAGCAGAATCCTGTGTCTTTCTTGCTTTATGCATACAAGAAGATTAAGCTGTATTTCTGGAGATCTGAATAAATCAGAGCATAGAGAAATTCACCTTGATCATGGAGTCTTAGGTCCTTGATGAGCTAATGGTATGGAACTGCGCTTTGCCATTCATTTTTTTTTTTTTGGTTTAGATGGAGAATTGATTAGACACTGTGAGCCTTAACTGGACATAACAAGATAAAACAAAGTAGGTACTTCTCCCACAATGCTAATAGCATAGTGGAAGTTGAACTAGATAGCTTGGAATTGACTACACAGTATTAGAAGGTTCCAACATACTTATTTATTCTCTTTGTTTGCCAGTCCCACCTATTTCTCTCTCCTCCCTAGCTGTTGACTCTTCAACTCTTTGTTAGACCATTCAGGTGTTTTAGGCAGGCAAAGTAACACAGTTTTACAGAGTTAAACAAATGCAATATGGAAGAACATGATACAGCTTTGCATCATTAAATAAATAGTACACAGAATAATGAATATAACACATTTTTAACTAATATTCCACAGCAAAGAGGTAGCTTGGAATTAACTACAGAGTATCAGAATGTACCAACATAAGTAACTATACTTTTGTAATGCAGAGAGTGTGAGTGTACTGAGCAATGGGAAGATCCTATGTGAAAATGTAGAGGTGAGAACATTTTCCATACTTCTGAAGACCTGAAGGTGATTCATTACTTGGGCTATAGAGGGGCAGACAATATTTAAGTACATGTAAGAAAGAAAGTGCTAGATATTTTTTCCTATAAGAAGAAAAGGGAACACTATCAAAATGCTTCAGGCCAAGGCATTCATTGCATTTCATTCTCTGCTGAACAAATTGCAGAATTAATCATTTGAATAACTTCACATTAGAACATAACCATTCAAAAAATACACACTCTTGTCCTTGGGTTTATGAAGACTCAACTTGCCTTTTTGCTCTTGGCACATATCCACTCGGCCCTGACGGTGTTGTGAGGTGGTTATTTATGTGCATGCTACTGAAACGCTTTTGGGTAGATAAAGGACTTATAGAAAACAGATGGACTTTGATAGAGTACTTAAAGACATACACTTGGAAACATGCACCACGAGATGAATTTAAATGAAGAAAGCCAGAAACCCAAACCAATCAATACACAATGAAGAGTCTGCCAAGGTGTCACAAGAATGGTGGGAAGGCAAAGTCCCGGGAGCAACTGCCAAAGAGGCAGTAATCAGGGTGTCAAATCACTTACTAAGTCAGGAACAATGATGGAGTTTACCACTACAAATTATCAACACAGGAATCACCAATTCCTTAATGAGCAATTGTGGCGGATCAAAGGGACAACTATTTGATTACACTGGTTTTAGAGACAAGCTAAAGACAGACTTAATCAATTTTTTTCTTGTTTTTAGAAAACCCACTCACAAAGAGAGTGATATTAAACAGCATGAACAAAATGTTAAGTCCCAAAGAATTAAGAGAGTCTCAAGAGACTCTCTATTTCCATCGTTAAAAATCAAATACCTAGGCTGGTGAGATGGTTCAGTGACTAAAACAGTTTTCCATGCCTACCTGAAGATCTCTATTTAATCTCTGGAACCTTCAATAGAGGGAAAGAACTAACTATCAAAAATCATCCTTTTGTGACCTCTATGCACATATGCACCATGGTGGGCTCATCTGAACTTATGCACAGACACTATACCCCCCCCACATTTAAAATATAATAAAGATTGAAGGGGAACTTTTGAGGAGGTAAGACACTACGACTGAAAGGAAGAATGACTGAGTGGGTTTTCCATACAAGGGGCCATTGTTTTGGTGGTGAACTTTGGCACCATGACAGTCTAACACTGGAGGGAGTAATTTCTTCCCATGGCTGTCGTCTTTGGAAGCAGTTCATCTCATCGATCATTTGCCATAATTGATATTCATGGTATTGTTTCCCACTCTTACCTGTTCCCTTCACAGTTACCCTCAGATAAGATGGAGAGTCTGAGAAGCCAATAGTTAGATGACAAAGATTTTTTTTTTTTACAGCTATACTAGTTTGCCCTAAGGTTCCGTGTAGATCCAGCCTGTTTGTAGATCCAAATAGCCTTATGAAGAAACTCAGGTTCTAAATGAAGAAGAGCCAAGAGTTTTACAGCACATAAAATTATAAGCCCAGGGCCAAGATATAGATTATTAATTTTTAATTAAAAATGTCCTTTGTGTCTTTAGTATTTATGGACCCCCAGAACTCTACTGGTAAAACAACACTATGAACAGTTTTGTCTACTTTCCTAGAGAGTCAGAATATAGATTGGAGAAATATTAGAGGCTCATAAAAATGTTATGAAATAAATATTTCTTTCGTACCTAAGCTATGTGAGTTAAACACTATTTGAATTCCTGTATCTTGTAGCAATTTGGGAAGAATAATTAGTCAACAATCTCACAGAATCTATCAATAATTTTGGGTCTTGATAATTATAAACAAATAGGTAAATAAATCACAAACTATTAGATTTTTGTATTTATGTATATATGTGGGTACATATGAATGATTGTTTAAGTGAGTAAGTGTATGCACATGTGTGGGTGCAGGTCTATGTATGTGTATATGTGTATAGAGGCTAGGACAACCTTATCTGTTATTCTTTGGGAATGTTGTCCAACTTATTTTGAGTCTAACATAAAATTACTGTGTTGCGTTTATGTTTAATGTATCAAATCTGTCAGCCATTTCTATATCCATGCCTTTTGCGGTGTTGCTTTGTAATTTCTTTTACAGAGCAAGCTAAGATTATACCACTGCTCTTTATTCTTATTTTGGTATGTTTTCCGCTATGTCCTACAACATATCAGCAGATTGGGCACATACGGAAAGAGAGAGCATCATTACACTTTTCTTTTTGTTGTTCCTGCTCACATTTGTGACTATGCTAATGTCAGCAAATTGAGTGGAATGTGATGCTGGACCCACTCTCAGAGATCATTTAGTTGAATGTGTTAAACATTCCCAAGTTGGAAGTTAGAGATGATTAACTGGATTGCTTAAATTGTTTTCTTTTTTTTTTAAAGAAAAAAAAGACATTTATTCAGTGTCATGATCAGGCTATTACAACAACAATCAACAGCAATCAGCAGCATGGGTGAAAAGAGGTCTACGGTAAAAACCCTGTGTTGGAATGCTTTACACTTTCCACAGAGCAGAAACTAAAATAACCTGTTAGACAATTAGTCACAAATACAGCCCTGGAGTTGTTTTGCCCATACACATGAGTATTGTCTAAAACATGTCTTCTTTGTAGCAGCTAGGCTGTGCCACCACTGTGCTCGGCTGAGTTCACAGATCTGTGGTAACCTGTAGCTTCCCTGTCACTTCTCTGGCTCTCCTCTCCTGCTAAGCTTTGATTCCTGGCTGTAATTAGAACCTACTGCCACTGCCATTGCTGCTGCTGCTGCTGCTGGAACCACCATAGCCACCTTGATTTCATGGTTTAGCAAAGTACTGGCCTCCACCACCATAAGGGTCAGAGCTTCTGCCTCCAAAGTTTTCTCCTTTCATCGGTCCAAAATTTGAAGACTGATTGTGGTAATTGCCAAAATTATGGTAGCTTCCACCACCTCCAAAATTGCTTCCACTACCACCACCAAAGCCGCCTCCGCCTCCTCCGTTGTTATAGCTGCCACTCCAGCCATAGCCACTGCCCTGGTTTCCATAACCCTGTCCACCACTTCCATAGCCTCTGCTTCCTCCAGAGTAACCAGGGCCGCCTCCTCCATTACCACCATCATTACTGGATCCATTATAGCCATTCGCACCGCCACCATATCCACTACCACTACGGCTGCCACTGAAGCCACCACAACCACTGAAGTTTCCCCCTTGACCAAAATTGTCATTGCTGCCGAAACCGCCTCCACGACGACTGAAGTTTCCAGAACCACTTTGACCTCTTTGGCTGGATGAAGCACTAGTCATCTCCTGCGTGGGTAGGGCTTTTCTTACTTCACAGTTGTGCCCATTCACAGTATGGTATTTCTGAATAACAGTCTTGTCCACAGAGTCATGGTCATCAAAGGTGACAAAGCAAAACCTGTCTTTTCTCCTCTGCCTCTGTCAGTCAGGATTTCAATCACTTCAATTTCCCATACTGCTCAAAGTAATCTCTCAGATGATGTTCTTCTGTGTCTTCTTTAATAAATTGTTTTCTAATCCAATGTATGATTGACCTGTATCATAGGTATATACAAGCTCGATTTATGATTTCCAGAGATTTGATAGCCTATAGGAGATGTAGAAGAACCATATTTTGTAGTATGTGACTATTGGTATACTTACCATACTTCAGTGAGTAGCCACATAACCATGCACATGTGGGCAGCACAAACTGAGCTTACTGGTTTATTTTTAAACTCATGAAGTTGAAAAATAACCTTTCGGCAGTATGTGAGTGAGTGGGAAGGGGAAAGTGTGGATAAATATGATTATATTTCATGGTATGAGTTAATTGACTATTTAGGACTAGAGAAAGAAAATGTAGCTATTTTCAGATAAAAAAATAATTCATTACTTTAGGAAATGTTCCCTAAAGTCTTTCATCTATTCAGGTAGAAATAAGAAAGCTGAGAAACCACAATGGGGAAGAGAGACAGCAATGTGCACTCAGAAATGCAGATTTGGGAGAAAAGTAACTTGGTATTGTTCTTATTGCTGCTCTGGGTCCATCCTGAAGGCTGCGTGGAACTCAGATGCTTTTCACAGAGAGTCTAGATAGCAACATTTCTCAGTAACAGAGAGTTCACTTTAAGCAAAAAACATGAACAACTCAACAAACTAAAGTCCACTTGAATCATTTAGTTTCAGGGACATGTTTAATAAGCAGAGGTAAATTAATAACTTTGCCATGCTTGTGCTGAGATCTTCTCTCTTTGGTGCAGACACAGAGCATTTTTCTAAGTGTGACTTGACTGCATGCAACACAAATTTTATAAAGGTAAGGCTTCATATTTTTGCTATAATAGCATATATAATAATGGTATTGCTAGGTCCTGTGGTAGATTGATTCCTAGTTTTCTGAGAAACTCTACTCCTACTTCCAAAGTGGTGATACAATTTCACACTTCCACCAGCAACGGAGGAGGGTTCGCTTTGCTCCACACCCTCTCCAGCATAAGCTTTCATTTGTGTTTTTGGTTTTACCCAGATGTACGATGGAATCTCAGGGTCGTTTGATTTGCATTTCCCTGATAGCTAAAGATGTTGAACATTACCTTAAGTGTTTCTTGCCCATTTAAGATTCTTCTGTTGAGAATTCTCTGTTTACATCTGTTTCCCATTTTTAAATTGAATCATTTGGCTTGTTGAATCATTTGGTCTCTTGAGTTCTTTATATATTTTGGAAATCAGGCCTCTCTCTGCTGTGGGGTTGGTGAGTATCTTTTCCCATTCTGCAGGCTGCTGTTTGGTCCTATTGGTGGTGTCCTTTGTCTTACAGAAATGTTTCGATTTCACGAGATTCTATTTATTAATTGTTGATCTTAGTGCCTGTGCTATTGGTATTCTGTCTAGGACAGAACAATTGATCTTCCATACAAATGAATTTGATATTACATCTCACCTCTTCTATCAGGTTCAGTTTATCTGAATTTATGTTGAGGTCTTTGATCCACTTGGACTTGAAATTTGTGTAGGGTGATAGATTTGTGTCTACTTGGATTATTTTACATGGCGACACCCAGTTAGACCAACATTATTCATTGAAGATACTTTCTTTTTTCCATTGTACAATTTTATCTTCTTTGTCAAAAGTCAGGTGTTCATAAGTGTGTGACATTTTGTCTAGGTCTTTGATTCAATTTGGTTTATCTACCTGTCTGTTTTTATGATAATATCATCCAGTTTTTGTTAATATAGCTCTGTATTCGGGTTTGAAATCAGAGATGGTGTCACTTCTGGAAGTTCTTTTATTGTACAGGATTTTTAAAAGCTCTCCTGGGTTTTTTTTTCCATATGAATTTGAGTATTGTTCTTTCAAAATCTGTAAGAACTGAATTGGAATTTTAATGGGGATTGTGTTGAATCTGTAGATTTTTTCGGTAAGATGGCCATTTTTACAATGCTAATCCTACCAATCCATGAGCAAGGGAAATCTTTCCATTTTCTGATATCTTCTTCATTTTCTTTCTGCAAAGACTTGGAGTTCTTATCATATAAGTCTTTCACTTGCTTGGATAGAGTTACACTAAGATATTTTATACTGTGAGGCTATTGTAAAAAGTGTTGTCTAATTTTTTTCAGTCCATTTATTGTTTGTATATAGGAGGGCTGCTGACATTTGTGAGTTACTTTTATACCCAGCCACTTCACTAACGGTGTTTATCAGCTGTAGGAATTCCCTGTTAGAGTTTTTGGGGTTCTTATGTTTACTATCATATCACCTGCGAATAATGATACCTTGAGTTCTTCCTTTCCAATTTGTATCCCCTTGATTTCCTTTAGTCATCCTATTGTTTTAGCTAGAACTTCAAGTGCTGTATTGAACAGGTATGGAGAGAATGGACAAGCTTGTCTTCTTCTTGATTTTAGTTAATTGTTTTGTATTTCTTTCCATTTAATTTGATGTTGGCAATTGTCTTGCTGTTCATTGCATTTATTATGTTTATGTATGTCCCTTGTATCCCTGATCTCTCCAAGACTTTACTAGATGTCACGTGGGCATTTTTTCCTGTCTGTTTGTTTAAATGGTAGTTTGTAGGTCTTTTTTTGTTCTAGATCTTCCAGGTGTTAAGTTGCTAGTATGAAATCTCTCCAAATTCTTCACAACAGCACTGCTATGAACTTTCCTCTTAGTGCTGCTTTCATTGTGTCTCATGAGTTACACGTCTTTCTATATTTCTTCATTGACCCAAAGGTAACTCAGATGAGCCCTATTCAGTTTCCATGAGTTCATAGGCTTTCTGTTGTTGAAATCTATCTTTAATCCACGGTGGCCTGTTAAGAAACAGGGGGTTATTTCAATTTTTTTTGTCTGCTGAGACTTGCTTAGGGGCTGAACATAGGCTCAATTTTGGACAAGGTTACACACAGTGATGAGAAGAAGGTATATTCTTTTGCGTTCGGGTGAAACGTTCTTTCTTTATATTGTATGTTTAGTGCTTTGATTATTATGTGATAAGGGGACTTTTATTTTTGGCCTAGTCTATTTGGTGTTCTGTAAGCTTCAAATACTTTCATAGGCATGTCCTTCTTTAGGTTGGGAAAGTTTTTCCTATGATTTTATTGAATATATTCTCTGTGCTTTTGAGTTGGACTTCTCCTTCTACCCATATTACTCTTAGATTTGGTCTTTTCACAACATCCCATATTTTCTGGATATTTTGTGTTAAGCATTTGTTGGACTTAATATTTTATTTATACGATGGATCTATTTTCTCTATTGTATCTTCAACACCTGAGATTCTTTTTTCCACAGCTTGTCTTCTGTTGTTTATGTTTGCACTATTGGTTCCTGATCATTTACCTAAATTTTCCTTTTGCAAAAATCCCTCAGTTTGTTCTTTCTTGATTGATTCTATGTTCATTTTCAAATCTTGAATTGTTTCCTTCACCTATTAAATTGCTTCTCTTGGTTTTCTTTAAGGAAGTTGTTGACTTTTCCAATTTTTAAAAATCTTTTCCTCCACCCCTTTAAGGAAATTTTTCATTTCCTCTTAAAGAATCTCCATCATCTTTGTAAAGTTATTTTTAGGGGAATTTTACTCTGCTTTATCTATGTTGTGGTGTTCAGGTCTTGTTGTAGATCCACTAGTTTCTGGTGGTGCTATATTGCTCTACATGTTGTTGAGTGTTTTCCTACCATGTTATCTAACTATCACTTCTAATTAACATAGGTGAAGCCTGTGCTTAAGGAATCCCTCTTCTTCCAATTGGTTTAGTTGGGGGCTGTGGTTCCTTTGAATACTCCTTTGCTTGCAGGCAAAGCAGAACTTCTGGTGATCACTTCTCCAGATACAGCAGGTTCAAGGCTTCGATGGTTGCTCCTCATGGAGCACGAGGGATCATCACAGCTATGGTGGTCTCTCTTACTGGAGGCAGTGCCGCAGTTTTGGGAATCACTCCTCAGGTGTAGGTGGGGCTGAGGTTCTGGGGGTCACTGCATCAGTGGAATATCTTGTGTCGAGAATGATAGTGGATGCTGGCTGGTGCACAGGTGCTCTTTCCCTGAGGAACTTCTTATGATAGCTTCAGGAAGACACTGCTGGAAGCCACGGCTGTCATCCCCGAGCAGTTGTGTGCTGTTCCCTTTGGTGGCTCACCTCTGACACTCCTGAGTTCCTAACTCAGGCCTCTGACACTCTCCTAGGTGGGTCACTTGGGCGTCTATCGCTCTCCCAGGTGGGTTTTGCTTGGGTCTCTGATGCTCTTTTGGTTGGGTTACTTAGACTTCTCAATCTCTATAATATCTATAAACTTATTTTTAACATCATTTTCTTCTGCTTCAGCTCTGTTGGATTGTTCAGGTCTTGCTGTTCTATAACAGCTGGGTCCTGGTGATGCCATTTGCCTTTCCTGTTATTGATTGTGTTTTTACACTGGTATTTATTTAGGCATCTAGATTTGGGATGACTGTAGGTCTAGATGTTGATTTCCACGTTTGTTTTTGTTAGATGTGTGTTTTGTTCCTTGGTTTCTCTTTTATCTCTGTTCTTCTGATCTGAATGGTCAAGGGTTCTGGTGACTAGTGTGTCTTCAGGTGGAGTACAGTGTCGTGTCCTCTTGGAGGTTTGGGGGGCTAAAGATCCCTAGATCAGGCCTGGCCCCTGGTAAAACTGAAATCTTCTTTCAAAGCTGTAGACCAGGATATGGAGCTCAGGGGAGTGGGTGCAGTTCGTGATATCTAAATTGGTTTGACCTCTTGGGTCCCTAGGACCAGCGTGGCTTCCAGTACAGCTTCCAGGGCTATCGTCCTCTAGATCCAGCCTGTGCTCTTGTAAAACCAAAATTGTCTTCTGAAGTTGTAGGCCTGGATCTGCAGTGCAAAGGAAGAAGGAGGTACATGCTGGGGTTCCTAGAATCTGCCTGGCCTCTGGTAAAGCTGAAGACTGCTTCCAAAATACTGGGATGGGATGTGGAGTCCGGGGATGGAGGGGTGTTGTCATCCCTATGGTCCCTAGGTCCACTTTGGCCTCCGATAGACCTGCTGATGCTGTGAGCTCTAGTATGGAGTCTATGGTAGTCAGTGCCTTGAGAGTATATTTTTGTTTGTATTCTGATAATTCCTATCACATAAAAACATACATGCTTATCATTTATACAGATATCATTTGGAAAAAAGGGTAAACAGTTTTCACCAAAATTATTTTCCAATGATAGATGCTACCTTTTCCCTTAGATTTCTATGTGAATAATAATTCTGTAATGAACATTAGAGACAAATACAAATGTGTGTTTCTTTTGATTTAGAATCAGAAGAGAGACTATGAATTTTTGGAATGTTCTTGAGGATTCTCCAGAGTACTGTTCCTACCTGAGATGGTGATTTGTATTTCATTCTTGTGACCAGTGTGTAAGGACTCACCTCTCTGAACCTATTCTCCCACATTGGTATGTCTACTAGATTTTTTATAAGAGCTGTCCCAAGATGTTAGGAGATGTGTTATCATTGTTGCTGGCCTTGGTTGTAATTTTCATTTCACAGACGATATGAGATATTGAGTTCTTTTAAAGGTACCTAGCTATAAAAAGAACACGAGTTTATATATTTATGATATATGTATGAATGATATATATCCAATATATAAAAATATATTTAAATAATTTATTTAAGAAAACAAACTATTTTTTTCTTCATTATACATACCCAATCCAAATTCCCACTCCCTCCCCTTCTCCCATTCCCTCTACTTATTCCCCCAACCCCATCCACATTGTTCCCTACTATATCTAGGCTGAGCAAGTTATCCATCCAGAGAGAACAGTTTCCAAAATAGTCAGTACAAGCAGTAGGAATAAATCTTGGTGCCACTACCAGTGGTCCCTTAGTCTGCCCCAGTCATGCCACTGTCAGCCACATTCAGAGGGACTAGTTTGATCCTATGCTTGTTCCTTCCCAGTCCGGCTGGTGTTGGTGAGCTCCCATTAGCTCAGGTAGACTGTTTCAGTGGGTGAACCCATCATGGTCCTGACCACTATGCTCTAATTCTCGTTTCTCCCACTCTTCAAGTGGACTTTTTGGTTTTTAAAATTGTTTTTATTATCCATGTATAAGAACAATAACTCTTGCTTCATATAAGATTATAAACAACACTGAAAGACAGTATTTTATGGGAAAATGGCACAACACTGAAAGGACAATACTGTTTGACTTATATGTGCGTCCAAAACCATTTGACTCATAGAACCAAAAGGTAGAATAAAAGTTCCAGGCTACTGGGGTAGGAAGATGGAAAGTTGCTGTTGAAAGGGTGGCATCACAATAGTGAGACAGGCAAGCTGTCAGTATATAAAGCACATAGAAATACAAATCTGATTAAAAGTATTATACAACCATGACCTTTTAGGCCTTGAATATGTGAATCTTTATTTGCATATTAGCATCTCTTCTCCATTTTTATTTGTATTTATTAATTATACAAAGTAATGGGATTTGTTATGACATTTTATTCACAGGAATAGCATATCTTGGTCATCTCCAATCCCCTGTTATTATATCCTGTTGCCCCAAACCCACTGTTTCCTTTTCTCTACCCTCAAATTCTCCTATTTTCATGTGTTATAGCTATTGTTTGCTTATCTCTCTAAAATATTATTGTATCATGTACACATGTATATAAATATGAACAAAACCTGCTGAGTCCATTTCCTTTTGCTCACATGAATGATTTTAGGGTTGACCACTTGGCACTGCATAACTCCTTAGTGTTAGTCTCTTGAGAGGACATGGTCTTTCATTCTTAGCAGTCAGTGATTACACAAAGCTCTTCAGTCAGGGTTGGGGACTTTTCAGCATCCATGTTGGTATGGTCACTGATGTTGTCATTGTTCAGATATTGTTTAGACTTCCATATTTTTGAGATATGGTTTTGATTTCCTGTTCTAGTGCATAAGGACTGTAATAGGTGTTAGCACCATTTTAAAACTGCTTCTCAAGAGCTAAGTGGAATAAAACATATTGCATGTTAACGGTGTTTATAAACTAGTGTAAATTCAATGCTGTTGCCAAATCAGGGACTTTAAAATTTCAATTCCCTGTCATTATGAATTAAAACCTACTGCTGTCAATGTTGTGTATACAATCAAGTGGTTTACTACATTTTAATAAGCAGGCTGGGAATGTACACTTTGTTGAGAAAAGAATGAACATTCAAATTTCTGAATTTTTGGTCCGGAAAATAATATATATATCTTTAAATCATTTAAGCCATCATTTTTGATTTTTGTTTTCTATACCATATTATCTATGATTCTACAGCTGCCTTGTGTAAGAATAGCTATGGCCGTTGATGAAATTCTACAGCATGTAGGTGACAGAGGAAGATTTCAAATTTTGAGGGTTGTCCTTTACATCATTTTAAGTTTGCTGTCATCCCCTCATGACATCATGGAAAATTTTACAGCAGCCATCCCCAATCACCACTGCAATGTAAAACTTCTTGACAATCACAGATCTGAAATTAATATAACCATGAACTTAACTACTGAAGCTCTGCTGAAGGTCTCCATCCCAATGGGCCCTGATCAGAAACCTGAAAAATGCCGACGCTTCCGGCACACCCAGTGGCATTTCTTAGATTCTAATGTATCAGTTCTTAACAACACTGAGCTGGAGACTGAGCCATGCCTGGATGGATGGACATATGACCAGAGTGTTTTTACTTCCACCATAGTTACTGAGGTAAGATGTTTACATCTAGTGTTACCCATGGAGTCCTGGTACCAAGTATTGAGATGGAACACAGTTTTCACAAAATACTGAGACCTTGGAAAGAGATGAGAAATTTTGTGTGTGTGTGTGTGTGTGTGTGTATGAGCCTGTGCATGTGCACATATGTGCCCACATACAGTTTTCCAAGAGAAATATAGCTTCAAAGTTAAGACTGGTAGTCTTTTGCCTTCGACACATACTTTATACCTCCTATATTAATATTTCATATGAATTTTCCCCATATATTTGAAAAGAGAGTAACACCATCATTCTACAGAGCTGATTACATTCAGCTACATAGCTGAATGTGCTGATTACATTCAGATATTATGGTTGGCAGTGTATCTTCAGAACTCATCTTATTTGGATGAAAAAAATCTAAGATCTATTATTACTGTTAATCAACTTTATGATTCAGTTTATTAATATTTAAGGCAGTACATTATATATTATGATTTTAGGAAAATTTCTGGTTAATATCATCATCTGAATATAATCATTTTAAATTCCGATTTTTCACATAAGTGATAACTATTTAGAGTTAGAGTGGTTTCAAGGATGACAATGAAAGCATTTATAATACATTTTAAAACAGAAGTTCTCAGAAATGAATTTTCTGCAAGGGGTGAGTTCTGGAAGTTACTACCCATACCTATGCTGGAATTTGGGCCTGTTTGATGTTTTGCATATCTTGAGTAGCTTACCACAGCTGCTATAACTTCATGAATTGGATAGCTATGATATTTTCAGAATATAGAATTTTCCCTGAGTTTTGGGGGCAGGTGGTATTAATAAAGATATAAAGGTGTAAAATGTTATATTTAGGACTGACCAGTCAGTCCCCTTTTCTAGGCTGTTGAGTAATTCTGTGTCATCCACTGATTGATACCTATTGCTAGAAGAAGCTTCTTTGAGGGTGATTGAGAGAAGATATAGGTCTATAGGTATACACATAAATTTACATGTGTTTTGGCTAACTTTTATTGTGATAAAACACTATAGCCAAGGCAACTTATAAAAGAAAGTGTTTATTTTGGTTTATGGTTTCATAGAGTTAGAGTTCATAATGGAGGAGAGAAGGATCATCTGAAAGCTCACATCTTGATCCACAACCACGAGGCAGAGAAAAGGCTTTGGGAATTTCATGAATCTTTCGAAACCTCAATTTCTACTCCCAGTGACACCTGTCCTCCCACAGGGCCATACCTCCTCATCCTCCCTAAACAACGCCACAAATTTGGAACCAAGTACTCAAACATATGAGTCTTTGGACTCACTCAAGCTACCACAAGAAGGCAATTTGATATAATAACCATTGAGCAAAGTAACAACAACAGGTTCCACCCTAGGGCTTACGTTATTCTTAACCTTGGACTCTTGACCAGTATTACCATACTAACATAAAATTTCCCTCTGTGAAGCATGCCTCAAATCCTGCGGATAAGTGATTAGTTGTGTCATGATTGTTACATAACATCACTCTTGCATGAGTGGATACATCTCTTGTTAGAAATTGTTTCATGTATCCAAAACATGTTCCCATACTAAGACAAATTTCTTACATTTTATAAAGAATAAGTAAATCCTCTTCACTGAAGGTGGAAAATGTGGGACACAGATTATAAAGTTAAAAACTTCCATTTATTAAAATCATGCAACCATTAAAGAATATTATTAAGCTATTAAGAAAAATAAAATCATGAAATCCACAGGCAAATTGAAGGAGCTGGAAACAATCATTCTGAGAGAGAACTAGAAAAAAATGTTACAAGTTTTAGTTCATCTTTAAATGTTAGCTTTGAATCTTCACCTATGTATGTTTTGTTTCATATACTTATATAGGCCAGGAAATTATTAGGGGGGCATGGGAGGAGAAGTGAAGGGAGATAGAATGCACTGGTATAAATATTACAAAAGGAGTAAGGGAATTGTGGTTTGTGAGGGTAAAGTAGAGGAGAGGATGGAACAAAAGAAGGAAGAAAATAAAACACTAAAAATATTTTGAAAATGTTCCATGGATACCCAACTACTATAGAAATAGCTTAATATATGATACCTCGGTGTGGTGTATGGTATATAGGTTCCATTTAAGGCTGAGTATTATGCAGTCCCTTATTTTCTCTGTGTTGACCAGTTTTGGATCTCTTCATTGATCATCATCTACTACCAATAAATAGAGACTGCCCTGAAAATAAGTGATTGATGCAATAATCTCTGGATATAATGTAATCATTAGGAGCCAGTTAAATGCTATGTACATTTAACAAAGTAATAGTAGCCGGCATTCATCTAGGGACAATGACTTGTCTAACCATAAGTTATCAAGGAAGTGATCATTGCCAATGTAAAAATATATCATAGCCTGTTTCTCATTATCCAGCAAGTATGTTATCAGGTTGTAACTGAGGTTTCTTTCCGAATACTATATATAATTATTCATGCTATGGTATCTTTTATTCAATCTTTTACAGTGGGATTTAGTCTGTGATTTTCGATCATTCAAATACTACGCACAAGCTATCGCTATAGCAGGGCATTTGGTGTCTGGTTTAGTAGGTGGCATTTTTTCTGACAGGTAAGTTTCTTTTCTTGACAAAGAACCATCTATGAAATTGATTTTAAAGAGTATACATTTTTTGTTAAAAGTTATGAACATTGAAAGAATCTAGGTAGACTGAATGCATTATAATGATAGGTATGTTTTAGAGAAATAAAAATCATTGGAAGATTGAAATAATTATTTCAGGCTCCCAAAAGGTGTGATTATTGAACTGACCCATAAAGAATTAACAGGTGATAGAGGAAAAAAGGTAAGGGGCAAACAAAAGCATCACAAAATGTCACGTAACAAACGTGATTAATGCAAAAATAGCATAGATTTAGCAATGAGAGACAAAGTTAAGAATCTAAATTTGTAAGAATTGAATCTTCATTTTCTTCTTACATTTGGTATATGGGAGGGCCAGAGAATAGTGACAACTGAAAGGTTATGTGTATTTGAGGGGTGTGGGATGGGAGGGTGTGTGGAGGGAGTGGGAGGAGTGGAGGAAGTGGGGATTTGGGTTGGTATTATTTAAAATAATAAAATAAAATAATAAGAAAGGAAAAAAGAAAAATATATAGTGCACTTAAAATACTCATTTATAAAAATTCATTTGCTTGAAGTTCATAAGAAAGTTTATGACAGGAGGCTAAGAACATTTGAGTATGGTGACTGCTCAGGGAAATTTCTAGAAGGAAAATATCGAGTCATGAATAGATAATACTTCACCACCAGATCAGTAATGAGGCATGGGTTAAAAATGATCTAATATTATTAACTTACGTTAGCTATTAATGTTTATGAGGAAGGATATAACTCAATTAGTATGTGTGGATATGCTTTGCAAGAAAGAAGAAAAGGGAGCAAAAATGGTGAGGATAGAGAGATGGCTTAGCACGTAAGAGTTCCTGCTGTTATTTCAGAGGACCACAATTCAGCTCAGATGTCTCATTCTGGTCTCCGTGGGTACCTGCACGCATGTCTCTCTCTCTCTCTCTCTCTCTCTCTCTCTCTCTCTCTCTCTCACATACACACACACACACACACACACACAAACACACACAGACATGCACACACATACACACACATACATGTGAGGTACATGTATGCACATATATGTCATGTCACTCATATGAGGTCAGAGGACACCTTTGTGAAGTTTTCTCCTTCCAATTTTAAAACATTATTTCTTTTGTTTTCTGATATAATACAATTATATCTCCCACTTCCTCCCTTCAAACACTCACAGCCTTCCTTGCTTTATTTCAAATTCATGACCTCTTTTTTCATTAGTTGTTGCTACACATATATGCATATACATATATGTTCCTAAATACGTAAGCTTTTTGTGGGTTCCAACGATTGAATACAGATTGTTAGACATATACAGCAAGTATTTTTAACCTACTGAGTCTTCGCCTTGCTAATCTATCATTATTTCTTTCTTCTTTCCTTTGTCTGCAAGAATTCCATTCAAACTAAGTACTGAACAACAATACTAATAAGTAGACATATACTGTCCTATCGAGAATTATGTCAACCTGAAACAAGTTAAAGTAATTCTGGAAGACGGAGCCTCAAATGAGAAAATGTTTCCACAATATTGGCTTGTAGGAAAGCTTACAATGCATTATCTTGGATGATGAGAGATGTAGAGGGCCCAGCCCACTGTGGGCAGTGTCATTCCTAGAATGGCAGTCCTGGGTTCTGTAAAAAAAAAATCAGGCTGAAAAAACATGAGAAAAAAAAGCCATAAGTACCACCCCTCCCTGGCCTCTGCATCAGCTCCTGCCTTCAGGTTCCTGTACTGATTTATCTCAGCGATGGTCTGTGGTATGGAATTGAAAAATGAAATAAACCCTTTCCTCCCCAAGTTTAAAAAAAAAGATATTAGAATATACTCAATGTGATGGCTCACTCAGAAACAGAGAAATGTGCTTTACATAAAGGTAGTGACCAAACATTGACATTTATGTAAACATAGATGACTGTTTTGTGGTGTTGGTAAAGGATCTCAGAAAACAAAGGTCTTAGAGTAATGAGGATTCTCTGGGGATATGCTAATAATATGTAACTAATCAGTTGTTACCTTTTTCACTACTTTAATTACTGTTACCATAGGTTTGGAAGGAAACCATTGCTGGCATATTCTTGCTTAGCCTATGGGATTTTGGGCATCTGCTGTGCCTTTGCCCCCAGTTTCTTCCTTTACTGTGCTTTGAGATTCCTGTTGTCTGCCTCCATAAGTAATATTGTAAACAACTGTACTATCCTTGGTAAGTTTGCCTTGATCTATACATATACATTACATTTCGCTCTTGAAGTCATCTTTCTTAAATGGTGTTGGATAGTGTGCTGGTTAGTTTTGCCAACTGGACACAAGCTACAGTCATATGTGAAGAGGGAACCTCAGGTGAAATAATTCTATCAGAATGGACTGCAGGCAAGTGTGAGGGACATTTTATTAATTAGTGATCAATTAATAGGCTAGGAGGGCCTTACCTATTTTGAGTGATCCTACCACCATGGAGTAGGTAGTCCTGTGTTATTCAGGGAAACAGACTGAGCAAACCATGGAGAGCAAGCCAGGAAGCAGTCTTGCTCCATGGCCTCTGCTTCAGTTCCTGCCTCCAAATTCCCTTCATGTCCCTACTTCCCTCCATGATGGTCTACAGTCTCTAAGATGAAAGAAACCCTTTCCTCCTCAAGATGATAAACACACCAGTAAAATGCACCCTAATACAGAACTCTTTTTTTTTCTTTTAGTTTTAGAAGAAACCACCCCACAATGGCATGGCACAATCATAGTACTCGGTGGACTGTTCTTCAGCATTGGCCAGTCCTGCCTTGGTGGACTTGCTTACTTGCTTTCAGACTGGCATATGCTGCAACTTGCTTATGCCTTGCCCCACTTCATATTTTTCATTGTTTTCTGGTACGTGCACTTTGACATGCATACTAAACAATGAAATTCCAATGATCGTAATGTATGATGGTGTTTTTATGTCTACTGAGGAGTATTTGGCCATTTATGCATTTACTCTATGCCATTTTAAAGTGCTATATGTAAAGAAGTAAATTTATAAGTCTTAGGAAAAAATCAATATTAGGATAATTCCTTCAGTTAGTTTATAAAACTAAGTGGATGGTGGCTCAAAATTCCATTTATGTATCACTTTGTTTTGCACTTGATTGTTGAGATTGAACCATAGGAAAATCAACCCACAAGGCAGTCAAGGACAGAAAGGTTTGAAAATAGATACTTTAAAATCCATCTTTTGTAAATTTTTTTTGGGGGGGGGTTCCAAAGGAAAAATCTCCAGTGCGGGAGGAGACGTGGATTTTTTGTAAAATTTTTTGGGGGGGGTTTTTTCAAAGGAAAAGTAAATCCATCTTTAGGAAATTAAAACAGTCTCTTTTTTCTAAACTCAACTACTCAGTTAAACTTCTCAGCTTAGTCTTCTCTGGGATAAAACATAAGTTGTTATTTTAAATAAACAGTTTAAGAATGTAGTAGTATTTTTAATTTGGAATAGGTACATTTTGTATTTAAAAATTGTGAATCTCAATTTAGAGTCCCATGCTGAAGTGGCAGAACTTTTTTGAATTAGAGTGCTATGAAACATTTAGAATTTGAATAATGGAATCCTTACTCCTCTGTAAGAATAAAAGTTTTCTTGTTTTCCTAGCTGCAAAGAAATATTAAGAGGCACAGCACCAGGGTATGACAGTGGGATTCATGCAAAAATTGAAGGTTGGTTAAATCCTGGAATGTTCTCTATTGGTAGCAGGGAGCAAAGCTATAAAGTTATTCTTTTCCTGAATAAAAGAGGAATGACTTTTGATCTTAATATGACCTGCCTTTCTATTCATCTTTTAAACAGCTGGGCACCAGAATCAGTCAGGTGGCTAATGACCACAGGGAAAACAGAACAAGCAATAAAGGACCTACAGAAAATTGCCTTCATCAATGGGAAGAAAGACATTGCACATAACCTAACTACTGAGGTACTAGAAACCTGTTATAATTATCTTTAAATTTCTCACTGCCACCAAATAACAAAAACCACAGTGAAATTATAAATAAACATACCCAAGAGCTAGAAGAATTTGGGAAAGATTCATATTAAAAAGATTATTATTGCTATCTTTTAATTTTTTAATTAAAATATATCATTTTCCCATTCAGTTTCTTCCCTCTAACTACTCTGATGATAATCCCATCTGCTGTGGGAACTCCTTCAACCAATAGCCTTCAAGATACTGGCCCGCATTGTGCATGGCCACATGTACTATATATACAGATGTAAAAAAGTGAGCCTCATTCTGCACATCAGTAGTTGCTATATATTTGCAATCAATTGCAAATCAATACAATCTGCTCAGTCTGTTTACTGTTATTTACATGTATTTGATTTCAAGGATAACCATACAGAATTGTATGATCAACTAGAAAAACCATTCCCTGGAGACAATTATTTCTACCTCTTTCAGATTTTCTTAGTTGCCTATAGCTCTTTGTCTTGGTAGGGCCCTATGAAAGACTTTCCAACATCTCTATTGATGTTGTTCTAGTCCTGGTCTTATTTAGGCAGCCATATTGTTCAGGTATCATGGGCAATGCCCCCCTTCTAATTTCATGAGACACAGAGCACAGCAGACTTCTTTATCCTCTGGTTCTTACTCTCTCTTCTCTCCTTCTTCCTTGATGATTCCAGAGCCAAAATTGCTAAGAGTTGTGCAGTAGATGCATCAAAAGGGACTGGGAACTTTATGATCTTTGTATCCTGATGAGTTGTGGTTTTCTGTAATGGTTTTGGTTTTTCGCAGTGAGAATTTTGTTGGATCAGGGATGAGAACTGTACTTAAATGTATAAGGGCAAATGTTTAGAATGCAGTTTGCGATTGATTCTGGTTTAGTTATGTGATGGTATAAGTCTCTCCTCTAAGATCGTTGACTTTCTAGCTCTAGCTATCTGGCTAAGTTTACAGTACCAGGCACTGGTAGGGCCTTTAATTAAATTAGAAATCTGCTGGTTACCACCAAGATCTGTGTGCCACGATCATACCGTTAGTGATATTTTGTGATGCTGACCATTGCTGTGATTCATACTCATCTGGGTAAGACTATTGGTTGTTTCTTTTCTTTGGCAACTTGCACGGCACCCTCCAGTACTATGACAACCAGACCTCAGGAAGGAGGTTAGATCCAGTTCACATCCACTACGTCCTGGGTACAAAGCTCATGATGTCTGTATCAATAGGAAATTACCTTCAATGTTTAGGAGACAAGAAAGGCAACATCTATAGTCAATATTGTATTGGAAGTCTTTTAAACCGCACTAACATGAAAGAGTATTTCATGTGCTTGGTACTAGAATTTTTGTTAGATTATCTATTTATCTTTTGTGTGTGCACTGTCATCCCAAATCTTACTATTTGGCGCTAGTAACGACAGAGAAGACAGAAAATGTCTGTCAATTTAATATTGACAGTAGAATATTTTCTAATTTGATCAATTTTACATAAAAAGTTAATGGTTTCATTTTTCTTTTCTGCTAAATTAGTTTATATAGTCTTCATTTTTATTGTCCATTCATCTGTTGAAAGATTTTTTTGGTTGCTTCCATTTTCTAGTTATTATAAATTTATCAGTAGTGAACATGGATGTGTAAGTATCCTTTTAAAACAATTTTTTTTCAATTTAAGCCATAGAAACAATTAGTTAAAAAATATATAGTATGAAATTCCCAAAATTAATAAAAATGTATTTTAAAAAACTAGCTAAAATCTTTTAAAATACTGAGTCCTATGTTTAATAGTTAATGTATAATTTTACTGAAAAATTAATTTCACATAAAATTAATAACAGTATAAGTTACATACAAATCTGAAATGATGCAATAAAAATTAGCTGAAATTTTTCTAGTAATTAACTAGATACAAGACTTGATTCACTATGAAACAGCTATTAATTAATCATTTATAATTAGTGCAGTTGGAGATTCTTAGAGAGTTTTTTATAACTGTCATATAGTTTGAGTACCACCTCACTAGTTACAACTCTTCCTGACCAGACTGCACCAATAAGAAATCTATGAATTATTAGCAAGTCATTTCTATAATTTTTATTAGGGAATAGTTCCTGAGCATATAATATATGCTTGTTCATCTAAACATTTTGAAATTTGTTTCTCTTTATTTTTTATTTATTGGTTTTAAAATTCTAATTGTACTTACTACTTATTTTGTGTACACGTGTTGGGGCACACACTTGCCAGGAAAAACGCATAGAGGTCAGAGGGCAACTTGTGAGAATCAGTTTGGGACAGATTTTGGACTCGAACTATGGATGCTGAAATTGAATTTAAGTCATCAGTATTGGTGGCATGAATTTTACCTTATGCATTTTGCCAGTTCCGCTTTCCCGTTAGATGGTTTGAGTGTAATCTATGCCACTCTGGTTTGTAAGGTGATTACTGGTGATTTATTTCAACATACAGGGGTGGAATAGAATTCATGAAGATTTGTTTCAAACTTTTGTTTGATCTAAATATTTTGACTTGACCTTTTTTTTTTTTTTGAAGGCTATGCAATCTAAACTTAAGGAAGATCGGAATTCAACCAGCAAACATTTCAGAATAAAGGACATCATTATTAATCCCACGATGCGTAAAATACTGATTTGTAATTCCAGTGTAATGTAAGTAGTTTACCCTTTCCTCTTCTAACACACAGTCAACTGATTCATCATCATGCTAAACCCTGGGAGAACATAGGGGATAAACAAACATCTCTCCTTTTATTCAAGACACTAGAATGCAAAATACAACTACATGTAAGGAAGAATAAAAGCAACTTAGATGGGTTATATTATTTTGAAATGCTTCATGGGATGATTGCAATTTACAGGGGCTAGAGAAAGATAAACATGAAATTAAAAAGGCTATTTAGACCTGAACTAAGTTTTACTAAATAATAAGGAAGACAAATATATCTTTTGTTAAACTGATCAGTTTTATTCATATCTCGATGCAGTAAACCTAAAGGCATAACATTGGAAACAAATCCACACACATTTTGTTTCAAGTTTTGCTCAAGGCTTTGCTTCTTAAACATACACTTACCACATGTCAAACTCTTCCACTGGAACAAGAGCTGCAAGACGTGGACTTTGAGCCCAGGCTTTTCTATACAGTAAACGATCACTAAAAACAGCTTCGTACTTCTCACTAGAGTTATTTTATAAATAAATGGACAGGCATCTGAAGAACTCTCCAGAGACCCGATTCTTCAGTGTTTGTATGTAGCAAACACTTTTAAAAAATCTGGGTGAGCAGCATATGAGATAGAGTAAAAACTGAAATGTGATGTAAGAAAATCCAAAGACATGTTAAATATACTATCACTTCATATTTTTAAAGGAAATTACCATCTCCCAAACAGTAGGAAAATGAAGAGACAATTTTAATTCTTAGCCTCTTAAAAAAGCACATATAAAAGTCTGCTGCACAGACTTTTATTTTTTATTGATTTTATTGAGCTTCATATTTTTCTCTGCTCCCCTCCCTTTCTATCCTCTCTCATTGAACCCTCTCCCATGAACTCCATGCTCTCAATTTGTTCAGGAGATCGTGTCTTTTTCTACTTCCCACGTAGATGAGATCCACATATGTCTGTCTTAGGGTTCTCATTGTTGTCTAAGTTTTCTGGGATTGTGGTATCTGACTGGTTTTCTTTGCTTTATGTTTAAAGACCACTTATGAGTGAGTACATATGATCATTGTCTTTCTGGGTCTGGGTACCTCACTCAAAATGATGTTTTCTAGACCCATCCATTTGCCTGCAAATTTAAAGATGTCATTATTTTTTCAGCTGTGTAGTATTCCATTACGTAAATGTACCACATTTTTCTTATTAATTTTTTGGTCGAGGGGCATTTAGGTTGTTTCCAGTTTCTAGGTATGACAAATAATGCTGTTATGCACAAAGTTGAGCATATATCCTTGTGACACAATTGAGCATACTTTGGATATATGTCCAAAAGTGGCATTACTGGGTCAAACCCAGCCCTACACAAAATACTCTTTCTTTAAGTTTTTCAATTTTGTGGAGCACAGGTTTTGGAAATATAACCTAATGATTTTCTGAACTTCCTTCGTGTCTGTTGCTATGTCCTCCTTTTCATTTAATGCTTGTCTATTTTGTTGATTTTCTCAAAGAACCAACTCTTTGTCTCAGTGATTTTTTTGTATTTTTTCTTAGTTTTTATTTTGCTGATTTCATCTCTCAATTAGATATTCACTGCAGTCCAGTTCTCCTGAGTGAGTTTGCTTCTTTTTGTTCTAAAGTTTTTAAGTATTCTGTTAATTCACTAGTGTGGGATTTTTCCAGTTTCTTTATGTAAGTATTTAATGCTGTGAACTTTCTTCTTAGCACTGCTTTCATTGTGTCCCATAAATTTGGGTATGTTTTGTGGTCATTTTCATTGAATTTTAGGAAGTCCTTAATTTTTCCCTTTATTTCTTCCTTGACCCATTGATGCTTCAGGTGAGCATTGTTTAATTTCCATGTGTTTGTGGGCTTTCTGGGATTAGTGTTGCTTTTGAATTCTAATTTTAAGCCAGGATGATCTGATAAGATACATGGGGTTATTACTTTTTTTGTATCTGTTGAGGTTTGTTTTGTTACCTAGTATGTGATCAAATTTTGAGAATGTTTCATGGTGTGCTGAGAAGAAGGTATATTCTTTTATGTTTAGATGGAATGCTCTATAGATGTCTTATAAGTTGTTTGAGGCATAACATCTGTTAGTTCCCTTATTTTTCTATTAATGTTTTGTCTGACAGACCTGTTCAATGGTGCGAGTGGAGTGTTGAAGTCTTCCACTATTAGTGTGTGCAGTTTAATGTGTGATTTAAGCTTTAGAAGTGTTTCTTTTACATATGAAGGTGTCCTTGTATTTGGGGCATAGATATTTAACATTGAGATTTCCTGTGCCTATTATGAAATGACCTTCGTTTTCTCTTTTGATTGATTTTTGTTAGAAGTCTATTTTGTTAGATATTAGAACAGCTATACCAGCTTGTTTCTTAGTTCCATGTGATTGGAGATTTTTCCCAACACTTTACTCTGAGGTGTTTGTGTCTGTCTTTGAGGTTGAGGTGTGTTTCTTGTAGTGCTGTACAGATTTTTAAATTATCTTTATTCCTTCGGTTCATAGTTAACACTCAGGGTTCTAGTTCTTTTTCACTTATTTACATAAAATAAGACACCAGTGAGGGGTTTGTAATACGTGTTAGCCTTTCAAAGGACCAGCATTCATTTCCCAGTACCCATATGGCAACTAACTATTGTTGCTAACTCCAGTATTAGAGAATCCAACATACCCTCTCCTGACCTCTGCACACACAGAAAATACATATAGAAAAAACACCCATAGACATAAAATAACACTAAGTCAATAAAAGTTGGTGTGATATACAATGAAATAATATAAATCTGTGTCTCTTAACTTATATATAAAATGAATTTAGAAAGCTGATCTTTGAAGCAGCTTATCATCATAAAATTATGTTATTTAAAATATAAATTTAAAGTGATCTATTAAGAACATCAGTAATACATAAATCCATTGTCCATATATGTTAGCTTGTCCTACTAATTATGATACACACACATACATATATATATAGACACACGCGCGCACACACACACACACACACACACACACACACACACACATATATATATATATATATATATATACATAGTTTTTTCTTTTCTTCAGGACGGGGTTTCTCTGTAGCTTTGGATTCTATCTTATAGACTAGGTTGGCCTCAAACTCACAGAGATCCGCCTACCTCTGCTTCCTAAGCACTGGGATTAAAGGCATGCGCCACCACTGCCTGGCTAATGATGATATATTTTATATGTAATTAATTATTATATGTAGTAATTATAATGTGTATATATAGTATAATAATTTCAAATTAAAAATTTATCACAATTTTCAAATTTCAGAAGGCTTATTTCATGAATGAGTCACAAATAATAAAAACACAGAGCCAGATATTGGGGTTCAAACTGAAGACCAGGAAAGCAAAGCAGCCAAACCACTGGCTCTCACCTCAACCTCAGCTTGAAAATAGTGATTCTGCCTCCAGAGTGAGATTGAGACTGAGAGCTATCTCCTCCCATTTTATAAGACTCTCTAGTTCTGGAACTAAGGGTGTGCACCACTACCACCTGGTTTTTATGGCAAACTAACGTGACTACTGGGATAGAGTCTATAAAGGCAGTGGGCTATGTTCAAAATGTTTTTAAATAAAAATTTACTTATATAAACTCTGCTCAGTTTACTGATAATTTTTATCATTATCTTATCTTCATGTTTTTTTTCCTAAGTAACTTCTGTGACATTATAAAACTCCATTTCATCCCATACTTGGGATATTAAGTTTTAGTTGTATCTTTGAAGGAAATAATAATCCCAAATGAGCCTCCCCCAGACACACCATAATAAAATATTTTCATGCCTCAATTGGTTGAATGACTCTGTGTGCTTTCTTTAAGGTTTGCAGCACTTTTCAGTGGTTATGGTATCTTGTTGGATATTCAAGTTTTGGGAAAGAACATATTCATGAACCTGATTCTCCTAGGAGTGACAGACATACCCAGCAAATTAATTACATATTTTATAATAAGAAACGTAAGACGTCGTCCTTCAGTTGCTTTTACGCTCCTTACAATTGGCAGTTGTATTGCCATCACCATATTTATACCTGAAGGTGAGACTTCCTCAGTTTTTAGAATCTCATTTTTAATATATATCCATGTACACATGGCTTTCCCAGTAGTGAATGTATCTCATACTCTGCTGCCTAGAAGAGCATTAGAATATATTAACTTAACTGTTTCTTTTATATAGTTATATTTGTGTGTGTGCACATAGGCACATGTGTATGTACATTCTATGTGTGAATGTATGGACATACCAGTGTGAGTGCCCTTGGAGGAGAGACACATTGTATAACCTAGAAATGGAGTTATAGAAATGGAGTTTCTCATAAGCTGTGCGATGTGGATGCTGGGAAAGAATTCTGATCCTCTGCCGGAGCAGTAGGTTCTCCTAACTGATGAGCTATCTTTCCAGCTCCCTCCTTATTTATTCTAAAAGAGCTTTCATATTTTAACATTTATTTATTTACTTATTTATATGGAAACAGTGGAAAGGACACAATCATTACAAGTAATATTTCCACCACACAATCAAAGCTAAAATGTATAGCTTTCTTCAATGAGATTGATTTCTAGTCAAATTTCAGGATAAGAAAAATGACTACAGAAAATTATATTGGTTTGCATGGTGAGTTCTTGGACCGGGTTAAGAATATCAAGAGGGGGCTTGAGCCCATTAATTTCTATACAGAAAATGACATGCCCTATAGTGCACATGTGGAGGTCAAAGAACAACTAATGGTAGTTAATTCTTTCCTTCTACTGCATAAGCTTCTAGGACCAAACAGGTCCTAAGGCTTGATAGCACCTTTACCTTCTTCATCATCTAACCAGCACTACAGTCAACTTTTACGTCTGTACATTTTAGAGACTGTGAATTTCTTAATAAGAAGAATTCTGACTTTATAGCATCCTTTAAACTAGGGAGTTCTACAAAAGTTATTACTATGAAATAATTATGCATTATCAGTTATGAAAACGGTCAATACTGTAAGGCCTATAATAACAGTATGTGCTGGGCATGAAGATATCACGTGGAAAGGACAGTAACTAGAAACAAGTAGTTTGAAGAATCTCTCTAGTGCCATTGAATGTTGAACCCCTAAACCCAAATGGGTATGATTTGGTAACAAATGCACAAAAAGGATGTGTTAGGAGGCAGAAGGAGGACATGTGGTTTGGAAAACTGGTGTCATTGTGTTAATAATCTGTAAACAACGAGGGGGAAGGAGATGATTACAAAGCATTTCATTGTCTTCATCTAGTAAATATTTTATTGAAGGTCTTCACCAATAGGAAAGGCAGGCTTCTAATTGGGCACTATTTCATGAATGCATTTCAGAGTATTTATTTAAATCACACAATGATGAAACCATGAACTGTGATCAGTTTGTATTGGAGACAGGTAGAATGAGGCGAATGGAGGTTTCCTTAGAAAGAAAACAGGGTGTTTGATGTCCTTCAGCTCCTTCTGTGCTGTGTGGTTGTGACCAGTCCCTGACAGGGAGTAACTAAGAGGTTTATTTTCACTGATTGCTTTTATGGGAGATAGCCACTATTATGATGGTGAAGGCAAGATGGCCAGTGGCTCCATGAAGTCATGAATGTGTGGCCAGAGATTATCCCTGAGTCTTCCTTTCCAGGGAGGTAGGCTTTATTATTTTGTCATGAGTCTGAGACTGGGGTCCTTGAAATGACCTGACCTTTTCTGTTACACATATTCACTCAAGAGTTCATTCACCCAGAATAACCTATTACCACAATCGTTTCTAAGAATTCTATTTTTTTATTTCTGTTGATGTCTTTGCCCATTTTTCATCCATGTTATCTGAAATTTTGTTACGTAGTGTTCGGAATTCTTTAATATTCTGGAACTTAATACTGGCAGGTACGTGTTTGTTGTCATTGTATAGAGTCCATTTTCAGTCTGTTGGAGTTCATATACCTTGCTCTGTAGTTTTGAGGAAGATATATATCATTATTGAATGTGATGTTGGTAGTAAATTTTCATATATGTCCTTAATTATATTGAGACAAACTCATTTTGTGAATGATAATTAAACTTTTTTAAAAAGTACAGATTTTTTGTTAATATGTTTGTTTTTCTATATTCAGGTTTGTTTTTATTTTCATTACTTTTTCATGTTTTCTGGGTGTATTTGGGTGGGTGGGTGGGGTACAGAGGATCTAGGAGGAGTTAAGGGAGAAGAAACCATAATCAGAATGCATTTTCAATAGAAAAAACAGTGCTTGATTCCAGATAATGTCTTAGTGTTTAATATTTTAGAAAACCTGTGTAGCTTTTTAAATCAGAGATCAATAACTATTAATAAAATAATCATTTTCTCCCTTACCATTGTCTGCAGATATGTATGTCCTGCGCCTTGTTCTCTTCCTGCTGGGAAAAGGCTCTTTTGCATCTTTCACTTGTCTGGCTATAGCCTATACCCAGGAACTCACACCAACAGTTCTCAGGTAAGGAAAGAAACTGACAAGGTTCCCCCCTGAATACTGCTGGAAGCTTCTAGAAAATTTAAATGAGTTAATAGGTGTCATTTTACGAGGCATTTCCAGCATTTAATCTACTTTAAGGAATATGCTATGATATGTTGATAAGAATATGTATTCCATTTCTGTGGGCTGGAATAGTCTATAGATGGATATCTGTTAGGTCTGTTTGATTTGTGCTGTAGTTTGACTCTGAAGTGCATGCTACGGTTTAGTTTGGATGACCTGTTCCTTAGTTAGAGTTACTATTGCTGTGATGATACACCATGATCATGGTAATTTGGGGAAGAAGATGTTTATTTAGCTCATGCTTTCACATCACTGTTCATCATCAAGGGAAGTCAGGATAGGAAGTCAAACAGTGAAGGAACCTGGACTCCGCAGCTGACGAAGAGACCATGGAGGGGTGTAGCTTACTGACTTGCTCCACATGACTTGCTCAGCCTGATTTCTTAGAGCATTCAGGGCAACCTGCCCAGGGATGGCACCATCCAGAATGGCTAGGCCCTCCCCCATCAATCTCTAATCAAGAAAATACCCTACAGGTTGGTCTATAGCCCAATCTTATGGAAGCATTTTCTCAATTGAGGTTTCCTCCTCTCAGATGACTTTACCTTGTGTCAAATTAAAACAAAACTATTTAGCACAATCTGTCTGATGGCAAATGGAATATACGTATTGTGATGTGATTGTGTGTGTGATGTTTTTGTCTAGATGTGTAGGAGCAGGGGGCTGAAGAGGGGAAGTGGGAGGAGAGAGTAATAACAATGAGGCATAGTTATATATGCTTGAAAACATCTTAAATAAACTCAATACCTCATAAGTCAGCTTAAAACATACAATAAGTAAAAAGTGTCCTCCAGCAATCTTCAGAGTTGAATGGCTAGCATGTAAAATAATTTAGCAGGTGAGAAAACTGCCATGCTTTCCCAAGTCCATCTACATCATCATACTTGGAAATCTCTGATATTATTCAAGTTTCAGCACACAGATTGCTATTGTCATCTTTCTCTATCTCTTCAGGCTTAAAATAATAACCTAGCTTAGCCTATTCCTTTATATCTCTGGTGGCTCAAGGAACACTTGTGTACAAAGTTTGAAAAGGCGCCAACTTGAAGATGAAAACCAAAGTAAAATGCTGCATAATAAGGAATGGGTGGCATACTGCACCATGGCCAGCCCTGTGACACATTCTTAAACAGGCATGTGTATTTCAGAAGATAAGAGCATCATGTTCCAGACTGCCTTTCCATTGCAAAACTGAGCCTGTCGGGTCGTTTGCCAAGCAGGGTACTCACCCCAGAATTCCTTACTGATACACCTTCCATAGCCTGAAAGGACTTTCTAAGGGTACTTACTATCTTCAGTACAGAATCTTGAACATTTTGATTATCTAAACCGTTTAATATGTAATGGGACAATATTGACAACAAGATAAAACAAACTTGTTTTGGAAAAGTTACGGAAAATCTTGCTTATTTTTTTTTTTTTTAGTAAATTTTATTAAATTATAAAAGTTTCCATTTCCACCCCCCCTCCCAACACCCTCCCACTCCCCCTACTCCCCCTCCTCCTCCCTCTTCGTCCCCCAGGGCAGTCAGGGTTTCCTGCCCTGTGGGAAGTTCCAGTTCCTTCCCCCTCCCTCCAGGTCCAGGAAGGTGAGTGTCCAAACAGACTGGATCCCCAAAATCCATTATATGTAGAGGAAACAGGTCCCAGTGTCATAGTCAATGGCTTTTCAGAAAGACTTCGGGTCAGCCACAGTCAGAGAATCCGGCCAAATTCCGAGAGTCTGGTTAGATCACGTCCTCTTTCAGTCCCAGTCCAACTGGCCTTGGTAAACTCTCATCAGATCCGTTCCCTTGTATCAGTGGGTGATGGCATCCCTCGCAGTACTGATTTCGTTTTTCATGTTCTTCCTCCTTCTGCTCCTCATTTGGACCTCGGGGGGCTCAGTCCCGTGCTGCAATGTGGGTTTCCGACTGTATCGCCGTCCTTCGTCAGATGCAGGATCTATGGTGATAAGCAAAATATACATCAGTATGGACATGGGCCACGGCCGATTCAGGCATCCACTCCTCTGTCCAGAGAGCAATCTGGGGGATCTCTCCTTGGACCTGGGATCCCATATATACTCAAGTCTCCTGTAAACCCTAAAATGGGTCCCTTAGTTGAAATATAATCTTCCCTGATCCCTTGTTCATCCTTCCTCCCTCCCCCCTCATCCCAGGCCACCAAGCTTTCCCCTTTCTTCCCCTACTCCCTTCTCTCTAACCTTCTCCCCTTCCATCGACCCTCCCTCCCCCCCATGCACCCGAGGTTACCTGGGACTCTTGTCTATTTCCTACCTCCTGGTGGATAGCTAAATAATCTTCATCAGGTTCATCTTCTTATTTAGCTTCTCTAGGATCACGAATAATAGGCTCAAAGACCTTTAATTATGGTTAGAATCCACTTATGAGTGAATACATACCGTTTTCCTCTTTTTGGGTCTGGCTTACCTCACTCAGTAAAGCGTTTTCTATTTCCATCCATTTGCATGCAAAATTCAAGATGTCATTGTTTTTTACCGCTGAGTAAAACTCTAATGTGTATATGTTCCACACCTTTTTTAACCATTCTTCTATTGAGGGGCACCTAGGCTGTTTCCAGGTTCTGGCTATTACAAATAGTGCTGCTATGAACATAGTAGAACAAATGCTTTTGTAGTATGATCGGGACTCTAATTAACCCAATTAAAAAATGGGGTACTGAACTTAACAGAGAATTCACAACAGATGAACTTCGAATGGCCAGAAGACACTTAAGGTCATGCTCAACCTCCTTAGCGATCAGGGAAATGCAAATCAAAACCACTTTGAGATACCATCTTACACCTGTCAGAATAGCTAAAGTCAAAAACACCAATGATATCCTATGCTGGAGAGGATGTGGGGTGAGGGGAACACTCATCCATTGTTGGTGGGAATGCAAACTCGTGCAGCCACTGTGGAAATCAGTGTGGCGGTTTCTCAGGAAACTGGGAGTCAACCTCCCTCAGGACCCAGCAATTCCACTCTTGGGAATATACCCTAAAGATTCCCGATCATACTACAAAAGCATTTGTTCTACTATGTTCATAGCAGCACTATTTGTAATAGCCAGAACCTGGAAACAGCCTAGGTGCCCCTCAATAGAAAATCTTGCTTATTGATTTAGTATTTATATTTCTTTGTGGTGGACCCTTCTTCTCCTCCTCTTCCCTTTTAATTGAAAATGGATTCTTTTCTCACATAGTATATCCTGATTAGGATTTGTCCTGACTCTACTCCTTCCACTCACCTCCCCCCACCTCCCTTCCCATCTGGATCTACTCCTTTTCTGTCTCTCCATAGTAAAGAACAGACTTCTACGAGATAATAATAAAATGTAACAGAATAAAAGAGAATGAGGTTAAAGACAAAACAAACAAACCCTGACTGCTCTTAGGACTGGAGAGGGATGGGGAGGGGGAGGGAAAGGGAAATGGGAGGAGGGGAGGAGGGGGAAATTTTTAATAAATAAATAAATAAATAAACAAAACAAACAACCCACCCAGAACTATCAAATCGAAGTTAAACAGGGCAAGCACACAGACAGAAAAGAGCCCAAGAGAGAGCAAAGGAATCGGGGACCCATTCTTTCACACACTCATGAATCCCATAAAAACAAGTGGAAGCCATACTTATATACAGAGACCCTGGAGAAAACCTGTGCGGGCCCTGTGTAGGCCGCTTCAGTCTCTATCAGTTCATATGAGCTTTGCTCATGGTGATTCAGAAGCCCTTGTTTTTCTGGTGTCTTCTACTTCCCCAGACTCTTAAATTCTTTCAGCCTCCTCTTTAGCAGGGTGCCCTGAGCTCTGAGGGGGAGGGATTTGGCAAAGACAGCCCATCTGTCTTTGGGGGTGAGTATTCCAAGGTTTCTCTTTCTTTCTCTCTGTGTAATGTCTGGCTGTGGGTCTCCGTACTTGCTTCTGTCTACTGCAGGAAGAAATTTCTCTGATAACTGAAGAAGATGATGATCTATGAGCATAGCAGAATATCATTAGGAGTCATTTTATCGATTTGTTTGTTTTTTTTTTAAAGAGCAGTATTTGGTTTTACCCTACGTCTTTGGGCTATCTAGTCTCTGCTTCTTGGTGTAGGGTATGGGTTCCATCTCCTGGAGGGGGGTCTTACATAAAAGCAGACATTGTTTGGTTACTACCACAAGCTTTGTGCCACTATTGCCTTAGGCATATCTTGTAGGTCTGACATGATTGTAGTTCCAAAGTTTTGTGGCTAGGTTGGTGTTTATGTTTATCTTTTAATACTGTGTAGACTACTTTCTTGCACCAAAGACACTAGGAAGAAAGGGTGAAGATTCTGTGTAGGAACTAGCTCAACTTCTCCATGTCTAATGAGTTGTCTGGATTTTGTCTTCAGCAATAGAACTTTGCTAGCAATTTATAAAGAGCATCCTAGTGTCTTGACAACAGTCTGGGTTATTTGAGGATTCTCATGTGAATCCTTCGGCAACTCAATGTTGGGTGTAACCCAATTTTCCACTAGTGCTGGACTATTTTAACTACTCAGTGAAAATTTCCTATGCTCTTATTCATTATTACATGGTCTTCATTATCAACTGCCACTTCTTCATTTTGAACTATCTAAATAAAAAATAAGTCTTCTTAATAAGTCTATTTTAGATAATTTTCAGGGATTTCATTCTCTTAGAATAGAAGACATCATGTCTTTGTTTGTTTGCAGAGGACTTAATGAAGCTCTTAGTGGTGGGATACAGGGCACCTAACAGCAAGACATGATTGATAAATAACCTTGAATTTACCTGATAAAAGCTAACTTTTTAGAAAGATATTTTATTGAGTTATGAATAGAGAACCATCGTATTTTGTATATAGGTGGTTGTCGAAGCCTTCCCATCATATTAGCCATCCCAATAATATAAGCACTGGTTTTTATCCATTATTACCCATAGACTATTCCTACTCTTTTATTAGAATGTTATTATCATTTGTGGAAAATGATATAAAACACAGTTAACTAAAAATGAACTTTTTTGGCAAATTTTGTCATCAGTATGCAATTCTAATGTGAAGCCTCTCTGCTCTGTACTGTGCCTGCAAAAATTTGCCACTAGCAATTCAAATTTAATTCCCTGAAGTGATCCTCTCCCCAGTACTCACCCCTCAACTGTGGAGTTACACGCATATGATCCCAAGTGAACCAAGTGGCTCCTTTAATTTTTTAATAGTTAGTTTTGACATTCATAATTAAATGCCCATAAAATATGCCCACTTGATCAAATAGATTTTTCTGTAGAAATCAAATGAGAAAATTCATGTAAAATGGCAATTTTATGTAATTGTTTGAAGAAAGGGTATGTGATCTTGAACTATTAATTAGATTAAATTATCAAGATACTTTCTCTACTCTTTAGATTTCATTTTCCTGCAACATTTCTTCCTCTAAATTTCTATAGGAAAGTACCATCAACCAAGTTTTGAATCGCTAATTTTTAAACTATTTATGCTAAATTTTTCAATTAATGTCCATATACCAGGTCAAGACTTACCTGAAAAGAAAAAAGTAAAGTCAACTTTTTAATTTTAAAGTGTAGATAGATTTCTGTTTTGTTAGTGTAAATAACGAAGTAACTAAATATTGCATACTACAGACTAAAATATTATTCTTATTAATTTTTAAATTTAAATTTAATTCATCTTATTTTATCAAGTAACCCTAATATTGTACTTGATGAACATAGATATAATATCTGTCTGCCCATTTTAAGATGAGAAAACTGGAAATCATAATAGGCTGTGTATTCTATTGCCAACAAAGACTATTGACCATGGGTGATTTCAGATATCTGCACTGAAAATGATGCTATTAAGACAAATCTTGTATATTCAGGTTTTGCATTTCTGGTCTATTTTTGAAGGTCCACTCTAATTGGTGTTTATAATATTGCTGCCCGCATAGCAGCAATATTGTCTGCACTAGCACTTGTTACTAGGAAGTATTTTGTACACCTTCCTTTGATTCTCTGTGGGATCCTACCCGTAGTGGCAACAATCAACATCTATTTTCTGCCGGAGACTTTAAATTTTCCACTGATGGACACTATCAAGGATTTGGAGAAAAGGTGAGCTCTTATACTGCTGTGATTTCGTGTGAAGTTAGGGTGTGTAATTTTGAAATGGTTTAGTATTACATGGTAAACTTATATATGCTAATTTGATAAGGTTAGGACTAGAATATTTTGGCTAATTTTGTTAATATTATGTTATTATACATTAATACTTATTATAGACACACAACTGTGATTGCTTTTACAAAATAATTTTGATATACAAATAATAAATCCCCTAGCATCTTGATATAAGTTTGCCAATGAAAAAATTGTATATTTGTATAGCATTTCATATAATCTGTGACTTGGAATGCATAATTTCTATATTGTATACTATAAAATTGGGTATGTCTTTCATATCCCTCTGTTACCCATCTAGTCAGATATTTGTATATATTATGTAATATCAGAAATATATATATGAAAATGCATAATCAGAGAGTGTTAGTAAAAGAATTAGATATGGAACCCAAATCATTCGAAGTCAAATATTGCTTTATTCGTGCTTTTCCTAGTGGTCTGAAATGTTAGATATTAAGCATTACCATTATATATTAAGCATGAAACATTATAGTTGAATAATCAAATTTAAAACTTTCCAAATATCTCTGACATGGCAGTAACTGATAATAGACATGCTATTTATACTGTAATTTAAATGATTGCTTTTATAACTTCTAGGCCCTTAAAGCTTTTAGCACAGTATTTTAATGATGATGGTCATAAATATAAGGGTAGGCATGTAATTGTTACCAGAGAATTTTTGGGAAATAATCTGTCTTTTCCTAAGACATTAGTTATTGTCTTGGTAAACAGTGAAGGATATGATCAACTTTCCTTTGACTGTTTCCCATTTCATCAGTGTGGAAAATTACACAACGTTTTAGAAGAATTTCATTTGTAGTTTCCCATGTAATCAGCATGGACACTTGCTATGGTCTACAATGTTTTTGCAATTATTATATAGGTGAAAAAAATCTGAGCATGAGCAAACTTGAGCAAAATATTGAAAGATTTCATACCCAGAGTGGACTGGACCTTCCTACAACCAATAAATACCCCCCCCCCCCCGAAGACGTGTGCACAGCTCATTCTAATCTGGGCAGTCCCTCAGCTGAGACTCCCTTCTCAGGAGACCACTGACTGCATCAACTTAAAACCTAAAGCTAACTATGACAATATGCACATATGTATCTACTTGGTATTGGTAAACATGTTTCTTGGAGCATGCCACAGGTCCACTATGCTCTTTTGATTTTTATGGTTTTCAGAGCAAGATGACATGAGCGTTTCACATTTCCTATGCCTTCTTTCATAAAGCAAGTATTACTTAGGAAAAGTAATACACTTCTGATATGTTCGGAAGTCTGAATGAATATTTAAGGGAGACGGAGATGTGTAATAACTTGTGAAATACAGATAAATTTACTTATCTATTTTTGAATATTTCTGTCTCACTTGAGTTTCCATCCATCTAATGCTTTTCAATTTCTTTGATTTCCGGAACAGGTTCGTGAAAAAAAGCGTCAGTAAAAAAGAAGAGCAAGACTTTCTGGAAACGACAGAGTGTTAAAGAAGCCCAAATCCACAGGGCTTTCATAAATATAAAACCTCCTCATTCTGTTCTGTACTCTAGAGACTCGATCCACTGATGGATATCCATAAATACACTTGTTAAATAAACCTATTGCAAAAGCAAATGTCCATAATATAGACGCAATACCTAAAGCTTTATTAAATACTGGAGTACAGGTCCTGTTTGTGAAAAAATTAAAACAAATCTGTACAAAAAATACTTTGTCTTAGTATTAAATGAAACGAGTTCTTTTGAAAATTGAAAATTGAGAACAAACTGTCCAAGAAACCAACCAATTATCTTTCTGGGTTTGATCTGAAATATGTATATTTGGATTTGAAAAGTTTAATTATAAGAATAGGGAAGTTAGAGACTTTGTTGAACAACTTGATAATCATTTAGAAGAAAAAAGCAATACTATGCTTTTTAATTGTTTGGTGATTCTTTTAAAAAATCTCACATATTGACAGTTACATATATATATGAGTTTGGGATTACCATGTTTGTAGACACCATATGAACATATATTAGCAATAACTAGAACTGAGCAACATCATAACTAGGGATTATATACTCAATCCTTCTTTGCAGGTTTTTGGTAGTGAGAAGTGAGTTAAGTGCGTCGGGGAAGGGGCAATATCAGTGAATTGTCAGATGTCAAAATCACATGGAAAAATATTTGCATTCTCTATTTAAATTTTCTAATAAAATCTGGACTGGAAGAAACAAATTACACAAGATCTTAAAAGGCTCAGAAATTTTACACTGTGGAAGCCCCTAGGTCAGTCTATTGCTTCATGTGTTATATTTTAAAGTCCGCATGAAGCACAGGCACGCCTCATAATCTCCTTACATGACTTCCACACGGGATGAAGCACAAATGATAAACATGGATGTGGGAAGCAAAAGTGAATTAGAGTGAATAAATTTTCCAAATTCAGGATACTTGAAAACATTCAAGACAGATTTTCTCCTTCAACACTTTATAAGTCAATTCCTATTTTTTGAAAGTTCTCCATAGTAAGAATAGTGCTAGCTTCTCCCTGAAATTGATGTAGGTTTGGAGAGGGAGCATACTAATCTTTTGTTAGTATGGTTATAGCTGCTCGAATCAAAGAGAAACTGTTTACTAAATTGATCCTCTCAATAATGGTATTTTGAGATGGATATATATCCAGTGGTGTGTCATATGTGTGTGTGTGTGTGTG